GACTGGGAGGGACTGGGATAAACTGGGAGAGACTGGGAGGGACTGGGAGGGGATTGGGAAGGAACTGGGATGGGATTGGGATGGAACTGGGAGGGACTGGATTTAACTGGGAAGAACTGGGAAGGAACTGGGATGGACTGGGATAAACTGGGATAGACTGGGATAAACTGGGAGGGACTGGGATGGCACTGGGAGGGACTGGGAGGGAATTGGGGGGACTGGGAGGGAACTGGGATAAACTGGGATGGGACTGGGAGAGACTGGGATGGACTGGGATAAACTGGGAGGGACTGGGAGGGGATTGGGGGGACTGGGATTTAACTGGCAAGGACTGGGAGGGAACTGGGAAGGGATCAGGGTGGATTGCAATAAACTGGGATGGACTGGGAGGGACTGGGAGGGACTGGGATGGGATTGGGAGAGACTGGGATGGACTGGGATAAACTGGGAGGGACTGGGATGGAACTGGGATAAACTGGGAGGGACTGGGATGGGATTGGGGGAACTGGGATGGAACTGGGACAGACTGGATTTAACTGGGAAGGACTGGGAGGGAACTGGGATGGGATCGGGATGGACTGGGATAAACTGGGAGGGACTGGGATGGAATTGGGAGGGACTGGGATAAACTGGGAGGGACTGGGATGGGATTGGGAGGGAACTGGGAGAGACTGGAATTAACTGGGATAAACTGGGATGAGACTGGGAGGGATTGGGATAAACTGGGATGGGATTGGGATAAACTGGGAGACAACTGGGATGGGATTGAGAAATAAACTGGGATGGAACTGAGATAAACTGGGATAAACTGGGAGGGACTGGGATAGGCTGAGAAGGAACTGGAATAAACTGGAATGGACTGGGATAAACTGGGATGGACTGGGAGGGAACTGGGGTAAACTGGGAGGAACTGGGATGGGATTGAGGGATAAACTGGGAGGGAACTGGTCTGTACTGGTCTGTACTGGTCTGTACTGGTCTGTACTGGTCCATAGTGACCCATACTGGTTTTTACTGGTCAGGGGTCACTCTGTCCTGGTCCGTAATGGTCTGTACTGGTCNCTGCGGGGACCCCAAAAAAAATTCAGGGGGACCCCAAAAAATGGGACCTGGGAAACCCCTGAACCCCAAAAATGGGACCCCCCCCAAAAAAAACCCCAAAAAAACGACCCCAGGAACCCCAAAAATGGACTCTGGGACCCCCCTGAACCCCAAAAATGGGACCCCAGGTTTTGGGAAACCCCAAAAAATGACCCTGGGACACCCCTGGACCCCAAAAAATGGGACCCCGAAAAAAAAACCCCCCAAAAAAACGACCCCAGGAACCCCAAAAAGGCACCAAGGGGCCCAAATTTTGGGGTCCCCCTCCCCATTTTCGGGGTCCCCATCCCCATTTTTGGGGTCCCCCTCCCCAATTTCGGGGTCCCCATCCCCATTTTTGGGGTCCCCCTCCCCATTTTTGGGGTCCCCCTCCCCATTTTTGGGGTCCCCATCCCCAATTTCGGGGTCCCCTCCCCATTTTTGGGGTCCCCTCCCCATTTTCGGGGTCCCCCTCCCCATTTTTGGGCTCCCCCTCCCCATTTTCGGGGTCCCCATCCCCATTTTTGGGGTCCCCCTCCCCATTTTTGGGGTCCCCCTCCCCATTTTTGGGCTCCCCCTCCCCAATTTCGGGGTCCCCATCCCCATTTTTGGGGTCCCCATCCCCATTTTTGGGGTCCCCCTCCCCAATTTTGGGGTCCCCACTCACCCACTGAGCTGCAGCTGCTCCAGGGCTC